TTCCCGCTTCTCTGGCGGTGCCCGGCTCGCCCCGGCCGCTTCTGGGGTGGCTTCGCGCCGGAACCCGGTCCCAGCCTTGCCTGGCCCGCAGGTAGAGGGATGGGCCGCCAAGGGAGCGCCGACCGAGGGCAGGATCGCGCTGCCGCCCGGAGCCCGGAGACGCCGAAGCGGATGCCTCGGAAGAGCACCTCGGAAGAGCGGCTTCTCTTCCCCAAGGCAAGGAGCCGGTCTTTTGGCGAGGCGCGGGTGACGTAGGGTTGAGTCACTCGCCGATGCGCGTCAGCGGAGAAAGCGCGGGGCTTTCGCTGATGCTTCACCGAAAGGCGGAGGTCTTCTTTTCCCCCAGAATGCCGCGAGCGGCTTTGGCACACGGCGGGCGAGGGGTCCCCCGCCTGCCAGCTGAACGACGCGCCACGGCGTCGCCTCTCCTTGATCCGGATCCTATACACACAAGCAGATCGGAATGAAATGTGTGACGGGTAGAGACCAGAGAGTCGTTCGTGCGTGGTCGGAAAGTGCGTGGACAGCCGGAAAATAGCTGACTGACGGGACCAGTTTAATGAGTACCCAGAGTCTGGGTCTGGAAAGCCAGAAAAATTCGAGGGCCCCCGGACCACGAAATCCATCTCATGCACCAAACTGGTACTTTCGTCGTGTGCTGAACTGCTTTGTTATGCCCCACTTTAAGATCCTCGGAAGAGGCCTTCTTAAAAATACCCACAGTTTTAGGAGTACGCCTAACCAGCAAACATGAGGGGGCCTTCTCCTGTGGTTGGTCCTGGTCGACTATGTAAGGGGCTCCCTACCTGTTTCCCCTCCGACTGAGTTTAAGGGTGTAAAAACACATCTTTGTAGTATGATGTCTAACCTGCCCTCCCATGTTGCTTTTAATTAGGATCTTTTGCTGATTTTTATGGTTTTTAATATATTTGCTTAGTTTTAATGGTGTTTTTTTTTTTTACATAGTGGCCTGGTTTGCATAATTTTTTAACTAAATGTGTGTGTGCTCTGTTTTTATTCCTTTCCAAGTTGTTAAGCTGTCTTGAGCGCTATCTTTTAGTGTTAAAGTGGAGCACAAATGTAATAAAGAAATCTTTGCTGATTTGTATTGGAGCATCACACAATTCAGAACCATGGACACCCATGAAATACAGTACTATAGGCAAAAAATCAAAAACCGATTGAAATGTCAAGACAATTGGACTATTCTTTTTTTTTACCAGAAGCGGTCAGAGCTTGAGATGTATGAAGAAATTTTTCCTCAACTTCAGCCATCATCTGAGGGTTGGTGTCGGTAAAGTGGGTGGATTTGGCTCTGCCACAGTGAAACACTTCTGGAAGTGAAAGATTTGCCCACTGCACACCATTGCCCAGGGGAAGCTGAAGTGTGCTCATGGTGCTTTCCCACTCTTCAGGAAGGCATCTTCTTCATTCCCCCAATAAATAGATAGATAAACTCCCCTCTAGGCCACTCTGGGCCAGCATGAGAAGGCAGTTCATGCCACTGGCTCTTCAACAGGCCACCAAAAATCCAAGACAACCATGAAGACGCATGCCTTGAGCACCTGTCTGGGATGCAAAAGGAGCATTAAACAAACAGACAGACAAACAGATACTGGTTGATCCTTTTCATATGGAGACATTTGTCGGACCTTTTTTGTTGCTCTTTATAGTACTTTAAATTGCAATGTTCCTTAAGTGTGTTGGCAAAAAATATCAGGATATACATTTTAAAACTGTTATTTTCTTTACTCTCTCCCCACCTTATGATTTGGAGGTGGCTTTTATGCAGTGATAAAGGACAACAGTATTTGGGGCTGCTGCTTGCTGTTTCAACACACACCACTCACTTCTGAGGGAGGGGTAACATGGGCCCTCCTCACAGGTATCCTTCTTGGCACTCCTACTGCCTTCCACCTCACCCCACTCGTCTGACCTCTGATCATCAGAGAGCGCTTAGCCCTGCTTTGTGTCTCTCTTTCCTGCCCAGTGTGTTCACCACACCTGGATCCAGTTAGCTAGATGAGATGAAACATGGAGAAAACTCCCCCTTTTTTGTCGTCATTGTCATCTGTGGAGTGGAGAAGGCTCTTTTTTTCAATTCATAGGAGGGAATCTTTTAAGAGATGCTGGTGCAGCTCCTCTTTGTTGCTGCTTAAGTGTTTCCTAGTTAGCTGAGCAGCAGAAGGGCCACAGTGACAAGGAGATTCTGCTTCTCTCCCGCAAGCTTTCCCTTCACACTCCTCATTGAGAGACAGGCACCAATGAAAGAGGGAGACTTCCCCATTGTGAGCTAGCTTGCTCCCAATCTTCCCTCTAGCACTCCCCAAAAGGGGAGAGGGCCTTGTTGCCTGGGGCAACAAACACAAGGCTAGGAGGAGGCAGGGCAGGTTGGATCAGACTTGGGGGTTGAAGGTTCCCCACTCTTGAGGCAAGCAGTCAGTCTGATTCTGCCAGACTCTGTTCAAAACTGGCCTCAATTTTCCTGACCTCCACACCCAGATTTGTGTCTAACTCTACTTGTCCTCTCTCAGAGTCTGTTTTGGCATCACCCTGCCCCCCCTTTCTTCCCTCACTGGGTGGTGGTATTTTCACCTCAAAATCAAAAATGGACACCCCTAATTCCTACATGTTTTACAAGAGACAAACAGAGCCACTTGTTCCTCTCATGAGCAGATAAGCCAGGGACAGGACAGGAAGCTCACCACAGCGTGTAGGAACACAATTAGGTCATGTTCACAAAGGAGTGATGCTTAAAATATAGCAGTTTTGGGACCAAAAAGGAAACAAAAGATCTGTTTTGGTCATACAGGTCAACTAAAAATGACTGTTCCTTGCTTTTGGCCTATTTTAAAAAACATTCTCAAGAGACCTGTTCCAGACCAAAGCTGCAACCTTGCTAACCCCCAAAGAAATCAAAGGGATTTGCTTTTGAATAGATCCATACAGGACAGTAGCGTACGGGTACAATTCTGTTCTCATGTCTAAAAGTCAGAACATGGAAGCACAAATCTATGAATAATGTAGTTACCTTAAACCAGTTATGGTTTGGAATAATAAAGGTGCACTAGAGTTATATTTCAAAAGTGACAAGTAGTTTCAAAGTTGTTTTTTTTTAGTATAATGGGCAATGTGTTCTTCAATATTTCCTTTTAACAGACATTTTAAGAGTCTTAAAGGCACTTTGACAGGATGATTCAGGATTTATGCCACTTTTCAGCTCAAGACATCTAGAAAGAAGCCGACAACAGAAGTGTTTGCTTTGGCTTCTGCATTTCTTTTTAATTTTTTAATTTTATTTTTTTGTAATTTAATAAGGTAAATTGTCAGAACTGGCCATTAGAGGAAACTAAAAGGCACCACCATGAATTTTTCTGGAATAGCTGTAACAACCAGACAACATGCTAATAACTCACAAAGGCTGCCAACTACTTTGGCAATGGAAGAACAACAGTAACAATAATAATCTGCTGCTCCAAAGCAATGTGTAATTTACCAAGCTTAACAACAGTATACAAATCTCTGCTGGAAGGAAGCTCCACTGAGTGCATCAGGATTGACTTCCATTCAGGCATTTCATGATAGTATATCAACAGAGGTGAGCAGTGGTCTTTTAAAAAATAAAATGAAAAAAAAAACCCTGTTAGTTGTTTTAATAATCTGTCTATATCAACAGAGGTGAGCAGTGGTCTTTTTAAAAATAAAATGAAAAAAAAAAACCCTTTAAGTTGTTTTAATAATAACTGTCTCCATCAAGTCAGTTCTGATTTATGACAACCCTTTTCAGGGTTGGTATAGGGCACTCAGAAGTGGCTTACCATTCTCTTCTTTTGGGGGAATTCTGACTTATGACAAACCTTTTCAGGGTTGGTATAGGGTACTCAGAAGTGGCTTACCATTCTCTTCTACAGGGGGAACTGGTTGGCTCTACTTGCAGGAGGGATAATGTGGCCACATAGGTTGGCTCTACTTGCAGGAGGAACAATGAGGAATCAAACTCCCAAACTCTGGCTCCATAGCCAGACATCTAATTTTCTGAGTTATCCAGCCAGCTCTCAGTTATTTTACAAGGGTTTTATAGGCTTTTAACATTTGAAAGGCTGACTGTTTGAGACTCTTCTCTGTTACTGATTCTAAAATCTTTTTCTCTGTTCCACAATTTTATACTTTGTTTGTATCTCTATGCTTGGATTTTATAGCAGGCTCTTTAATGTACACTGTGGGACTGGCCCCAAACCCCTTGCCAGTGGGAGCGGGTTGTCCACCTCCCTGAGAATCAACCTGCAGACTGAGCCATTGGCAGTGGAGATGTGGATGATTCTCTCAAAGTCACAGGTGTAGCAATGGCTGGGATTGAATGTAAGGAGGATAGTGAGGCAGGAGAGGAGGTCTGCTGGGCTGATGCTCTGGATTGGGAGGTGTTTGAGGCCCAGGAGGTACTGCTGTTACCAGCTGGGAGACCATCCGCCACCATGATCCTGACATCAGATGCTGAGGAGGCTGCCTGAATTTGCCACGACAAGGCCATTGCACCAAGAGGCTTGGAAGCTTGAGAACAAGAGGGGAGCACATCGCTGGCAGAGGAAGCAGCAGGAGCAACAGACCCCACAGCAGAGATCTC